TACAGCACTTTACATACATGTAGACGCGTGCTCTAGATTGCAGATCGTAAGATACAGGCAAAATTTGTTCGCCGCTGCTCTAGGCTCTAGCGCAATTCACCGTTTGGACGACAGTTGTTGCAGGTGTGTCGAATCGATTTACACGCTGCACATCTTGGCATCCTTTTTGCAAGTTTAGTATTCTCACAATTTGCTGAAAGTTTCGTGAAGTTTTGCCAGAGAACAACGTGTCTTCGGCCGGACATTAATCGTGGGTGGCGTACATTTGCATATTAACGAGTACCGTAACGTGACGTAATATATGTTCACCGCGTTTCGATTACTCACTCGACTGTGATAGATCAGTTTCTGTGGGGAAGAGGTCAGTTCGCCTGATTTCGCGCGCACGTCAAAGGCACGTTGGCTTTGATTGGATTTGGTTAATTATGACGCGAAATGAGATATATATCAAGATGCTCCTGTCTTACCATATTATTTTTGATTACGAACGTCGAGTAAATTTCTTAAGATATATCTTTCGAAAGTAATCTTTCAAGCACAGTCGTTATTAATTTTTTTTTGCGGTTCGAGAGTGCACGCGCGATGGGAATTAATCATTTCTTATACGCATCGTCACGCGTCATTTATGACCTAAATTCTTGTAATACATTTTTGACGCTAATTGCATAAATGTGACAGTTTGATTCTGATTATTTTTAACGTGTCAATCGCGTTTGTAATTAATGTATGATGAAAGGAACATTTAATGATGAATGTGCAATCAAAGCATGGAAACGCAATTTTCACAAATTGTACATGTTCTTTTTATAAGTTCACTTATCGTTATGATTGACACATGTCTTATCAAACTATGAAATATATATATTAGTGCGAAGATTGATTATCAGGCCGGTCGATAATGCTCCGTAGATCGTACCTGAGTTTTCAACCGTCTGCTCGAATCGCGCCATCGCCGGGCTCATCAGCAAGCCGGACGCCAGTTGCAGCCCGTGAGAGATTAGGTGCACGAGAATCGTTATTATGATAATAACATATCCCCAACCGCCTTCCGGGTAGTAATGCTTATTGAGCATGATTTTTTTTCGAGCGTTTATCGCGGTGAAAGATTCCTCTGCCTCCTCCACGTTCTCCACGAGCTGATCGAATAGATTCTCAGATTCGCCGACGCTGCCGAGGCCTCCCTCGAGAATTAGTTGCTCGGAGAATCGCCTCCTCATCATCTTCGACGTAATCGGAATGGCGCTATTTTTACGACCGGTTAAAGCGGCTTTGGCGCTCGCACTTTTCCCGCTGGCAACGAGACGCGCGTCACTGTTCGATTCGTTAGCAATTCGGGATTCGCTATTTTTCGAATCTTTAATATCGACAGACGCCGAATTCTCGGGATAAAGCGGGGTGATCGATTGTGTCGCGCGGGCTATCGCCTTCGGAAATGTTCGCGGACGGGTATTGCCGGCGATGATTGGTTCCGCGGCACCGGTGGTGCTTTCGCATTTTCCGATTGCATCATCGACGAGCGGCTGCTCGGAGAGTCTGCGATTATCTGCGCGGCCGATCTTGCAGCCGCGCAACGAGTACGTTTGATCCGAGTACCGACGATGGGGTATCGGACCGGCGGCGGCGGCGATCGAGTGCCGGCGCTGAATCGTCGCCCCGTTGTCCCCGATGTCGACGCAGCCATGGTAGAGGCTGCCGGCCGAGTTTCTACCGGAGGACGGCGGCAGAAAGCTCTGGCAGGTCGACACGGAGTTACCGGAGTCCTTCCGTTTCGCGCCAACACCTTGAACGGAATCCCTGGCGAAGCACGAGGACGTGGACGAGATCTTCCGGCGCTGGTACTGACACTGTGCGCACCGACATTGGCACGCGGTGAATTGCGGCAGGAAGCAATGGCACCGCATCATACGCGATAGGATCTCCGGATGCGCCAAGAGCAACTCGGGCAGCTCGATCTCGCTCCATGATTTCGCGATGTCGCCGGAAGACTCTCTCGTCGACGCCCGTTTCGAAACGAGACTCTCGGTCGACGAGCGGGTCTCGGATTCCACACCGGATATTTTCCGCGCGTTGCATTCGCGTTGCTGCCGGCAGCAACGCGTCCGCGCTGCATCGTCACGATGGGGATAGGATTCCTCTTCCTCCGGCTCTTCGTCGCCGTCATCTTCGTCGAGCGAATTCTCCTCGCTCACAGCCGCGCTGTAAGAGCGGCGACGTTTGCGATATGCGGGTTCCTCACGTAGCGCCCGCGCCGAGTTAGCTCTTTCGTCCATTTCGTCCGGTTCGTTTCAAACTCGTTTCTCTTTCAAACTTGCACAATCGAGGCGAATGTCTAAGCTGCTGAATTTTCGTGCTGAGACACGATGTTCGAGACCAAGTTATGTTACGTCACGCGCCGTCGCGTTACTTGTTGCGATATTTAAATGAGTCACGAACAATGCGATCCTTATCGTATATTTAAGTAGTTCTTCTATAAAAGATGGGTGTTCGTAGTACGTTTATCTCGTGCTTTTATCTGTTTCCAGAGTGAAATTTAGTAGATGTCGATTTACGAATATCGTGCAGCGTGGCAACAATGGCACAAATACACACTAGGAATGTAAAACACTTTTTCAATGTAACAGTCCCACACTTTTGTTATTTATTCGTTAGTTTTCACCTTTGTAATTGGATTTATCGTGAAAAAGAATACACCTGGTACAAAATTAATCTCAGTATTATGTTATACCAACAACATCGGTGGATTTCAAACGAGAACTGTCCCCAATGTGTGAGATCCAGCGATGTTTCGTCGATGCATCAACGATGCTTTGCACGCATTAGGCTGAACGTGAGCCGCACGACGCGTTTCGACTGTCGATTCGTTGTCCTGATTTTTCTCGCACGTACATTTTACGTTGTTACACAGTAGATACTGGTAGATACTCTCGTATGCATTAATCCCGAAAATAGTACGGGCCGGATGAAAAGTGTCTGTACCTTTTCGGAATAAGTGATGACGCTAGGAAATATGGGAGAAAGTTGCTACTGCTGGAGAAGCTTACTGAATTTTTTATTATTAATTGAGGAATTGTGATCTCAGTTGACAAAAATTTGAAATTTGATTTGTTTTGTACTTTTTTTTTTACTTTTATCACAGACTTATTAGTTTTTATTTATTATTGATATTAAAAGATTTATTTGTTTCGATTTATTCGGTACTCTTATTTTCTATACTTCGTATTAACAGCAGTCTAATTGGAAATAACTTTGTTGTTAATTCAATAATAGTATTAGTGAAACAAATACGCTCTTGTTTTAATAAAATGTTATTTGTTTTTTATTAATATTGTTATTCAATGAATAAGATTATTTTCAATTACACTGTCGTTAGCTAATGTTGTTAATACATCAGTTCCTTTCCGTGTAGTATTGATGAAAAGTAGCATCGAAAGAAATACTTTACTTTTTTCAGAATCAAAAGATACTGTAGAGATTGTAAAAACTGCATTTCGAACATGACAAAATAAATAAATTGCGGTCAATCTATACAGGAACTTGGTCCCTAGAAAACGCGACAAGAAAATCAATGTATGTCAGAGGTGCAAAGTCGGGTATAACTTTGATTCCAACTTCGACTACAGTTGCTGAGTTTCTTTAGAAATAGTAAGCATTATTTCCTTTTAATGTAACTTAATAGCAGATTTCGTTTGAGGTAAAACTTTTACAAGTATTTTATTGTTATATGTTAAAGTTTTGCCAAGTTATATAAAGTATCGAGTATAACCTACATTTTATCTTAAGAATCCCTGATAAATAATTTTTAATATTATTATTTGATATTATGTAAAGAATGATATCTGGTATATAACGTTTAATGAAGATATTCTGTCGTTATTTTATAAAAATATTCAATTTATAAAAAATATGCGCTAAAAATTTTGAACAATTAAAAAAATGTATATGTACAAATTAACTACTAATTAATAATGATATATATACAATTTTTTATATCATTTTATCAAAGACGCATAAGATATCACCAGAACATGAAATTTATTAGAAACTCTAAATAAAAAATTTAAAAGATTAGAAACTTATAGATTTTTGAGCAAATGCATAATCTTTTATTACTAGATATTGTTATTATTACTATATACAAGATTCATTTGAAATAATTTTTTATTTTAATAATTTTGTACATGTATACATTTTTATTAAATCTTATATGAAACATAAATGACAAATATGATAGATAGAATCTGAGGCTCGCACAATGATCGAAAATCTGGGTTTTTCGAGCTTTCGTCTCTTTGGTTTGCTCTCTATGTGTGTATGTGCGTGTGTGTATGTGTGTGTATGAGTGTATGTGTCCACAGTACTTTTGGGTATCGCAGCAGGAATATAATTTATGATACGACCACGTTTGAGAGGGGTTGAGTGTATGTATAGTTACATAAAACGTGATCAAAATACGATCCGTAAGAAGACATATCCAGGTCAGAATTAGGATCCTATCATCGCCGAGATTTACCTCCTATGGTGATAAATAGTGCGCTATTAGTTCACGAGGAAACGTGCGAAAAATGCTAATATCACACAAGTAAAGTATAGAAAAGGACGAAAGGTGTAACATTATTTTAACCAAAAATGTGTAATAAAAAAAAAATAAAACATTCTTTCAAGAAACCGTCATAAACTACGGTTTACTTAAATTTGGAAAATTCTGATTTATTTGAAATTTATCCGAGAATATTATGAGCGACCAAAATTTTCATAAATACATCTGCGTTAAATTTGCATTTATATTTCATAATTAGCACGTTGTTGATGGCCACTAATGATTAACACTGGAATACTGATGTGATACACATATCGCCAAAACAGAGAGCTAATTAATCGAACTTATCGAGACTTGCATTTATTATTTGTTATATTGTACGTGAAATACTACCTCTATTGCAAGTTTTGAACGTTTATAGAGTTGATTTTCGATGCATTAAGAATATCAAATGACCTCTTACCTGCACTATGCAGCGGGGGATGTCGAAATTTCAATTCAGCCGTGATGTGCCAGCATCCGGGCGCGGCAAGTTGCAGACCTACTCCGATGAAATGCACTAGTACCGAACACGTGACAATGACGTATCCCCAACCTCCCTCGGGATAATAATGTCGCCTCAAAGTAGCCTCCTTTTTGAAGTCCGTTGCCGGTCGCATCGGCGACAAATCGTTGTTTCTTCCTTGTTGCTCCAATTTTTTGCCATCCACGTTTCTTGCCTCTCCGATTAGGCGGTTCCCAATCCAAATATCTTTGCTTTGATTCTTCTCAGAGCGCGCTTCCGTTTTTTCGCGTCCGGTCAGATTATCGCGTCGAACACCGCGTGCGTTCATCATCGTCGGATCGTCGTTTTTCTTGCTCTGCGAGGGGAAACGAAAGGGATCGATCTGCGAGCGAAGAACACCCTCGGACGTGCATTTTGGACAGGCATGAAGATCGTTCTTCGAGAATGACACGGACGTCACGTAATCGTCGTAGTCCACCACCTTGATGTGCGGCGGCGATGATGCGTGTCTCGCGGAAGACGTGGGCGAAACGGTAGTTTGATATTTCTCCCTCACCTCATCCGTTTCTCCCGTTTGTGAATTATTTGTCTGCGCGATGCTGACTGTATGCTGTCTCTCATTCGCTATGTTTACTATGACATCAAAGGCGTTCGTTTCCGTGAATGATTTCTTTTTCAGTTGCGCGCCTGTATCTTTGAGCTCTTCCTCGACGTGTAAATTTTTCGAAAGCAACTTTGAAAAATCTGTATCCGATGTGGTTCTTAAGATGGAGTCTCTTTTCATATCTCGTGTCTTTGCGTCATTAATCTTTACGAGCGAGTCTGACTTACATCTTGATCGATCTCGGACGATGTTCTCCTCTAACACGATGACCGAGTTTTGATGAGTTGTAGTTGTCTCGATTAAAGAAAGACTACGCGGTATGAAATATCGGCCGGTATTCTTTACACTCTTCGTCTCATTATTCACGTCGGATGAATTCTCCGAGAAATTTGCGGGTTTCTTATTTATAGACGGCCTTCCGTCGATTAATCTTCGTTTTATCATCACGGACGCGACTCCTCCTGGGGCACATCGATCTAAGAGGATGACTTCTTCCAGGCAATTAGATCGCGGTGCAGTTTGTTCCAATCGATATATCGTTTCGCGGCTCGTTGGGATGATGGTAAAGGCACGAGATAAAGGATCGACGCGCACCTTCACTTTCTGTGGCGCTCGATCGGGCCAAGAACTGCTGTGCCTCATTTTATTCCGTCTGTGTGTCGTCATGCTACGCTAGGAATTTCTACGGTCCACTCGAACGAGCACATTGTTGAGTAAAATTATTTCCCGTATCCGTTAGCGGATAGATAACTCTGGTCCTCGATGATGAGGGTTTGGCAATCCGCCTTGCCATGTCGACGTTTTGTATTCGTGCGGATATAGCAGGTATTACAGTCGATAGTAGAATCTGCCGGAAGTACTTAAATATCATTTGTAAGTGAGTCGTATTCTTGATGCGGTATACGCGCAGAGCACGCGCATACGTGTACTCTTCGTGGTAACTGTGCATATTTTATACGTGTCACCGACGTTTACGACGTTCACTCTATATATTTCCACTGGAGAATGCGTTTGAAATAAATCAAAGTAAAATTTGCGATGTCAATTCCTCCGAAATCTTTCTACCATCGCGAATAATTTTCAAGTTTTATTTTAAGAGTTTGAATTTTTTAAAAAAGGATTCGAGATATTTGCGACGAAAAATGTGACGGAGCATTAATAACCGCTGATTTTAAGGGTTCCTCGGATGCCAGGCGAGCGGATGTGACTGCAAATGTTTTTTTCTTTTGCGCGAGATAATGATCTGTAACATCCGATGATGGAAAGATAACTTCCGAGGTGCAAGCGGTCCTGGCGAATGCGCCAGGATGACTGTTACGCACGTGCTGCTTACTCGCGATCAACCCTCTCTCTATGTTCTCTTTCTCTCTCCCTCTCACTTTAGCGGATGGCAGGCGCATGCTTGCAGATACCCGACGACGAATCGCGAAAGCTGCGTTTTCCAGCTTTTTTGTGCTACAATGTGAGCGCTCGTGTCGCGTGCTCATATGCCTCTGGTTCTCGTGAAGTTTACGTTGCGCGCATAATTTAGAACACTTCTTGTTAGATTTAGGCCTTGATCAAGCTGCTGAGCTGTATTTTAAGCTAAGCTTCGTTAATGACTGGAGATTTTTTTTAAGCTTTTTACGTACAGGATAAAATTGTAACAAATAAATAACAAGAATCCGAAACTCATATATAAAGAGTTAAAAAAAAATGTGTCAAGTAAATATATTAAAAATAAAAGTAGGTCAAAACGTGCGTTTATCTTTTTGTATTTTTTTTTAGTTTTATGTTAAAGCTATTTTTTCAATAAAAAGATTGAGCGTATCTTAAACTTTAGTTGACCGGGTTTAACAGATATGATTTCGTGTAAATTTGAGGCGTGAAAGCGTTTTGTATATGCTTCGTAAGTTTCAAATACACGCCTGTTACATAATCCCGTAAAATATTGCTATAAATACAACCGCAGAGGTGACTGATCCGCACAGTCATTTGGGTTTAGTGTACCCACGGACCTGAGCTCATCATGCTGCGGACACTCGTATACCTCTATACACATACTTACGTGAATGATGGTGCAGCAAATAACTGAAGAGAAGTAGAAGTAAAAGATTAACCAGCTAATTATATAAGTGTTTAACTATTTTTTTATAATTTCTTATAATTACAGTTAGACACTAGTATTTATTGATAAATTTGAAAAAATTACACATTTATAAGTAATACCGTTATAAATAATTCGTAAATTCTTTTCTCTCTTCTTTATATGAATTCAGCGCTTCATAATGTTTTAAATCTCATTATCTCAAAGAAACCCGTATTACACGTTCTTTTGGACGTTGAACGCTCCAATTTGTCTCCCGGCGGGGAAACTGTAGTCTCGGAGAATTCAAGCTTGTTTCCAGAGCCGTCTCTGTAATGCTATTATGCTTTCCATTTACCCCTCATCGTGCAGGAACTGACCTACCTTTATGACAACGTGCGATCAGTCGTTCGCAACGATCCGAGAAAAAAGCTCCGTCTAAACAATGAGATACAACTCAGGGCGGTATCGGGACGAACGTTGAATCCTTCAACGGAGAAAATTGGGTGGCGTAATGCAGAGGCAAAAATAGACGTCGGAGAGGAACCGATTTCTGGCGAAGAATGATTGAATTCGTTCGAAGTGGGAAAGGAATAGAGAGTCGTAAAAATTTGTTCACTCGGGAGATTACCCGCGGCGATGTCATCGACTAGGTCGACGATTATGCATGTTTTCACGATCGCGCGCGTCGGTAATACTATACTATACTATATTTCTCGTCTTATTCTCGGGAATAACTGCTCAAGTTGGCGTCTAAGTTGTTCGAGCGAGGCGTGTCGCGGTCGGGAAAGCAGGTGCGCGCGACTGGCGGAGATATTATTACCGATGATATATGTGAATTTCATGCGGAAGTTTGTGGGAAGGAAAGATAAAGCTTTCGTCGTCATCGTGACATCGTCGTCGTCGTCGTCGTCGTCGTTGTCATCGTTGGTGCGATGCGAAAGAGATGGACAGGGATGCACGGTAGTGCGCCGATAAATTTAAGCGGGCGATGAGCGGATGCAGCTTCTTTAAGCGCGCGCAGCCTCTCTTAAAGTTCGCGTGATTTATCGTCGCATTAATTTGGGATCGGGCTTAGCCTCGAGCGAACGGTGAATGTGACACTGGCGCGAATTTTATCACGTGTTGTCAGACGGACGTCCTCTCGTGGATACTTTGTTAAGTGGAGCACGGGGTGGCTCCTCGTCGTCGTGGCTCGTCGCGAAAATATTCTGCGCGCGGTCGAATTAACGTGCCTCGCGCAAGACGCTCAATGGACCCCTTCAGGCGTGACTTAGCGAGATTACTTTGTCAGCTAGAAAAAAAAACGTAACTCAAACGCCTCGGATATAAATCAGTAAAGAGATACGTGCGCTAACGTGCACGGAGCTGAAGGATATAATGAGATTTATGATGGATTGGAAGCTCCTCAGCTAAAATTTTAATTCCCGAAATTGTGCACGCCGCGGGAGTGTTAACTCATTTATATCCAACGTTGCGCTTTCGCAACATGTTGTACCGATCGTAAAGTTTGTATGATGCAATTGGATCTAGCCATGAATATAGAGTAGCTACTTATACAATTGGATTGAATATATATAAGCTATGTGGCCAAATATATTTATTAAAACGTTTTTTTATCTTGCAAAAAGCACACCACGGCTTATTAAAGTTTCATTTTTCCGTAAAAACTATGTAAAACGAAAATCTTTATGAATTAAAAATGCTAAAATGCTAAAATTCTAGAGGCTAGAAGCAGAATTTCCTCAAATTATTATACTAACAAAAATGGATGTGTAAAAATCCTCAGTGCGGTCGATATAAAGAGAGCATAGTGAGTACAGAAGATTAGACAGATTTATATTCAAATTGACGACCGGCGTGACGAGGCTAATCTTGAATTAGGCGAAAAATCGCGAACAGGATCTCCGTGGTGTAATAGCAAGTTTGCGAGTGTAGCGGCTGGCGGGTTTCCCTCTATTTTAGCGATATGTTATCAGGTCGATCTGTCTCGCTTGTACGAGACATTATTGTATGTAACTGGAACGATCTTGATGCGTGTGTCTCGGTGCTTGCTTGCAACCTGTCCTAAATGCTCAGCTCCGCCCCGGCTGATCGATATACTTGAAGAGGAAAACTTTTCTTCGTCTTACGATCGTCATGTCTCTCTGGAAGTTTGGCGAGTTCGGTTATTGCATTTTGAAGTCGCAGTGACATTTGAAGAATTGGCGAAGCGAAGGGTGCTCGGCACACCGTGAATACCTGAGAATAATTTCAGCGTTCCGCGAACTAGCTGACTTATCTCTCTTTCTCTCTCGGGCAGAAATGGGATTCCGCTTTTACCTTCGTGCCTTGTAACAAGTTTCAGAGAATGCGGATATACGACGGCTTCCTTATGATCTATTAAATCTAGTTACGACCTTGATCGCGCGCACTCGCGCCGCGCTCGATACGAGTCGTAAAACTTATCGGAGAGAATCGCGGTCGCATCTCGAACGATCGTACCTTTGTTTGCTTCCGCCGCGCCACCACGGAATTTATCTTCCGTCTCGAATGCTCGCGCGCACAGGAGCCGTCTCCGTCCTCTATGATTTTATCTGGTGAAAAATATACTCGACTATCGGCGGTCGCGCATATAACGCCGTTCTGCATCGGACGATTCGATTCTAATCAGCCGATAACGATATAGCGATAGAAATTTCCTCGGGGCCGTTTGAGACGCGAGGCATTTGACCCGCGTATAGAACGAGATCTTGAACGCTAATGGATGACCACCAAACCGCCACTTTAGCGAGATTGAAACTGTCGTTCACACCGTACCGAGCATGATGGATGCGGTGCTTTATAAAGTCGTTCGCTCCTTGTACGTACTCGTTAACTCAAGAGACTCTTACCTTTCCTATGCTTTCCTTCGCGTAAATAGCGCTTTCGTAGTATTCGTTTCGTCTCATTTGATAAACGTGTCAGACAGTTGAGGCCACGGCGCGGCGCGGCGCGGCACCGCGGCGCGAAAAGCAGCTCTAGCTGTTTAAAAGGCGGTTTGAATATTTCGAAGCGCTCCGAGTCTTTTGCCTTGAAAGCTATCAGCTTTGCTTTCGTCGTTTTACATGATTTCCAATTATTGCGCCCGACCATTACAAGCTCAAGCATCAATCTTGAAGGCTCATCAAACTCATGCCTTTGTCATTTTAAACGCTTTCCAATTATTGTGCCCGAGCCGCAATAATTTCTAGCTTCAAGACTGAAAAGCGTGAAGCTTGCTCCTCGTCATTTTATACGTTTTCCAATTATCGTGCCCGGTTGCAATATGATTTTTTACTTACCAAGTCTGAAAAGCGTCAAGCTTACTTTTGTCTTTTTTGCGTGTTTCCGATTTCTCGACCGTAATCATTTTAAGTACAACGCTCGCGAAATGTCTCTGTTATTCTTGTTTTGGATCACTGGTTCTGTACATTTTCCAAGTGACCTGTTTCATTTCGAAGGGGACAACATGAATGGTAAAGAAGTGTTTAGATTATTTCTGTACATTGAACTTTAAAGATAATATTAACTTTGAAATAAATCAAGACTTTCTGTGTTTCATACATTATCAAATTATATCTTTCAAATTTAAAGCATTCGCTAATAAACACAAAACGTGAACAAATTTCATTGGTCTGTCCAAAGAAAAAGAAACATTCATATATGCATATTACGCGGATTTGCTTTTAATAAATTTTTGTCGTTATATTGTGTTAATATAAAGCAACGATTGAACATAATTTCAATATTTTGACTTTAAAGTCATAGACGTTAGAATGATCTTACATGCAGGTACTGCAAGGATTGGTTAATAGACAGTAAAAGACGAAGATTTAGAAAAGAACTTTTATTATTTACAACATCACTATAGTCTATGGCAGGGCGTCAAGATCGGCCAAGGCGATCTTCATCCTCGTCTTGAGCTCGTCCGCATAGCGTAAAGCGGATTCGTCGATCCTAACGTCCTCCATCAGGAGATCGCAATCGAGATGTTGACTGTCGCAAGCCCGGTGATGGTGCTTGAGCACGTCGTTTGAGTCCAGATGATGAGCCCGTCTGGTAGACGGGTTCAACGTGGTCAGGGCGTAGTGATTGTGCACCGTTAACGCGCGCCTTGTGGAGACGAAACTTTTCACCGAGTCGCCCTCGGGCGAAATACTGGCCGTTCTCATGGTATCCAGATAGTCCGTATACTCGGTCGAGCGACGGAGCTCCTCGTCGAGTCCGGTCAACCGATCGGTCTGACTCTTGTTTTGCAACTCGGGAAAGAAATAGGCATTCCGTACCGAATACGAGGCGAAGTCCTTGAAGCTTCTGCCGAGCTTCGCGCGCTCGTCCAGCAGCAATTCGTGCCAGGTCTTCCGTCGCGTCGGCACGATCGCCTCGTCGATATCGATCGGCACCACGAACTCCGACCGGTGAAGATTTTCGTAGAAGCAGTGATTGTACGGGATCAGCTCCATTCGCCTCTTCGTCCAAATGTCCTCGCTGAAGAATCGCCTTCGGGCCAGCTTCTCGTTCGGCAAATCACCCGGTAGATCAAGCGCGAACCATCGCACCACGTTTGACCGCTCGTACAAGCGTAACACCTTGAGTACATTCTCGTGCACATTGAATACGTAGAAGTAGAATAGCTTGGCGCCCAGAATACGATGTAGCTCGACGAAAGCTATTAATTTATGCGATATGTCCTCGTCGAAGTCCAATCCTTTGATGCACAGGGTGAACTGGCGCCTCTTCCGATCGGCAAAAGTCTCGTCGTCGAATTCCGAGCGGATCGTTAAACTATGACTAGCATTCTCGTAGCAGGGACTCGGACCCACGTGAACCCGAGACGTATGGCGTACCGAGCCGTCCAACGGCAGTTGACAATTTACAAGAATCCCGGTGTAACTGTCCGCCGTGTCGCCCCATTCATCCAACCAGATCGTCGAGATGAGCGCCTCCACGCTGAACGATTGTATCCTCCCGTTCTCTCGGTACCTGAAACATAATGAGACTAAAACGCTTAATCCATCGTTTCCGATCGCGTGAGTTAATGTCGAGTATCCTAGCGGAAAATATCTGCACACACTTTGGAAGGGATTTATGTAGACATTTATAACGCGCTCTTTCAACCGTGTATTTTAAGCGAATATGCTCCGTTTCGCGCCGCTGCTAACGTTTGCGTTATATTACTCACTTCTAACGCGAAACAAATAACTTGCATGCGAAAATAAAGTTCAACCCGCGAAATTAACCAAGTTTAATTTCGTCCAAGTTAAAAGTACGAAATGAATTAATTACGGAATGCCTTTTTCCAATATGCTTGCTATTAATGTACTTGTATGTCCCGCATTATTTTACGTTAAGTTTGCCAAAAGAACATAAGCGTTCCAACATTTTTCTTGAATATTGAACTGGAAGGAACGAATAGATAGATACGGATACGCGGGTTTTATATCTTAACGTGTTATATCCGTCATTTTCAATTATTGAAATACAGCAGTTTAAAATTACCCTGTGTTAATTAAGGTATAGATTAGCTTGAAATTTAAAGCACATTGTGTCGAAATTTCACAATTCAATTGATTGTAATTTCGGCTAAAGGGATAGAGGAAGTTCTTACATTAATAACCTAAACAACAAATTTAGGTCGATTGAATTTAAAATTTCATTGAATTTCCGTTAAGGAAGGTTGATATTAATTTAGTCGATTTGTCATTACGTAATTTGCAAAGGCGATAGGTAGCGATAGCCCTCGTTTATGAGGATCGTTTAGTGATTCTCTTTTCCTCGGATACTTAGCTTCGTCAGAGATAGACGAGTAACGGGCTGATTTGCGACGTGAAAAATGGCTCACCATATAGTGCAGAAGAGCGCGGAGGGCGGCAGGGCTCCTCGTTTAACGCCAATCACTCTGATGCTCGGGTAACCGGCGATTCTGAGGTCCAAGTGGGCGCTGTACAGGAAGAGCTGTCCCGGGATTGTCTCGAGCCATTTTGTGCCGGGCAGCTCATATGCGTTTAACGCCATTCCGCGCGTTCCATTACCGTCGCAGTGCTTGGTGGGCCTGTAATCGAGTGCCAATCTTCGGGCCCACGAATAAGCGACGATGCTTCTTGTGCCCGGCGGTTCGCCGCCTAGAATATGCGCAAAGAATGACGCTAAGAAGTCGTTTGATCGGAACGAATGGAGAAAGCGCCCGAAGAAGTTAATTTTAGGGCTTGAAGAGAATAATGCTAACTCATGTTTTTGCCAAGAGAGTAATGCACGAACTCCGTATCACAAAGTATCAGGTATCACAAAGTGCATTACTGTTGTGCTACCAGCTATCTTCAAAAATGTAACTAAAACTTCTGATTTTCACTTTTGTATGAACAAGTTGCGTCTTATGAAAAGCTAGTGTTCTGCAAATGCATTTTGTGTCGAAATACGTAATTGTTATATGTATTATATTAAACTAGAAAGATACCAAAATTGAATTAATATTAAATTAATAGTATATTATTAAAATTATCTTGTATAATAAGATGTATATAATGTATAAAAATTAACATGCATTTTTGTAAGAAAATATATGCTATTTTCAGGCATTTTTATAAAATTAACTCCAAATTCGTTAAGCTTCTTATAGCTAACATAATAAGATATTAAATCTTCTAAATGTTATAATAACATTCATTTTTGTAGGCGACTAGATTATTATTTTCAGGCATTTTTATAAAATTAGTTTCAAATCCGTTAATCTTCTTATAGCTGACATAGAAACACCATTGATATAAAACTCATAAATATATAGATAAGATTTTGCATGAGCTTTGCATGTTGTCCATCACTTGGAAAGTGAAACGTTATATAAACTACAATTAAGGAAGGCATTTTAAAGCTTGAGACTCTAAGATTTTATGAGGCAAAAATGTTTGAATAAAAATTTGCGATAAATTTAGTGCTGCAAAACAAAAGATTGGAAACAAACAAGATTGCAAAAACAAAATATCAGAAAGATATTAGACATTTTTATTATTAATAAAAAACTTCCTAAACTTTACATTTTTATATATGAAGCATTAAACATTATAGGATTATTAGTAGGCTGAAATGGGCAATATTTATTTTGTTAAATGGATTGTAAATGAAATTTATCTCATTTTTTTATTATTAATCCAAAAGGGTAAATTTCACTTGATTTGGCATTTGCAATGTTTAGATATGACACTCCATTTTCATATCCTCTATCCTATTTAGATTCCAAAAGCGAATAATGCATATTCATGTAGAGCTCGAGTTACTCTATACACAAAGTTTCATCCGAGTTAACTAGTTAACTAGTTTCGGTTGACTATGTTTTCTTGTAGGAGCAAGTGCCCGCGCTAGTGCTAATATACGTATACATATACCTAACTGCATACTGTCCGTAGCTTATCAGAACTTTTACGCTATTACACCGATAGTATCGCTTGCATTCCGTTTACTGCTATATCATCTTATAATTTCTGCGAGTGTAATGTCGTGGCTGTGTTCGTTTTATTGAACGTCCACTTATTGTCGAAGCCGATCGATTCTCGATCTTATCCGCCGCGAGGATCTCGCGAGTCGACGCGAAGACACTGACTCTATACGACCGGACGGAAGTGACGCATCTGTGTGCTCGAAACGAACGTGTGCCGTACTATGAATACATTCATAGTTTGTTCAGTCTGCTATGCTTATATTAGAAAACATTCGCTTCAGTGTCTTTCTCTCGCTTATCAGTGCTGCATGATAATTCTCGTAATTCGCAATTACCGTAGATTTCAGCGCGACGCGACGCTCTAGTAATGTTCAAAGGGAGGAAGGCCAGGCAGGCAGAGTAAATTAGCTGGGCGGAATTTCAATTGACGTGACCGCTAATTAGGCTCCCTAATGTCGAATACGCCGCCTATCCTGTATTCCGCGGAGAAACTCGTTTCCCTGTGCAGTCACGAGCCCGAAGCGGACCCGAGTAGCGAGATATCCATTCTTTTTTCCACGCATTAATGCATTTATAATAAATGTATTTATGGAATACGACAGGATTCACGCAGACGCGTTCGAGTGCGCTTTGCTCTTCGAGGGCGATAATAAATCTACGCCGTTGATAGCTTTAAGGACTCTCGTTACGTCTCGTTTATAATTATTTCTGCGAGACAGCGACCGCGCGGTGACGGCGACGGGCGGCGGCGACGATGGCGGCCGGACGAGGAAAAAGAGAGGAAGAAAAAAAAAATAAGAAACGTCGCGCGTCGTGTTGGCGTCCGTCGGGGTAAATTTATGGCACTATATACGTTTCGTGACTCGTCTCGTTTGCAATTACTCGTCTTCGACGTATATGGATCGCGAGCGTTATTGACGGGACGCCCGGGACTATTTCTCGGACGATCTCGACGTCGAGAGCGTATAGGTAACGAGACCGTAGGCCCTCGGAGCCTACTGATCCCATCGTCTTCGCGGGCGACGGGATAGATGATGGTTCCGTCATGGTGTGTCGTTAAAAGTCGGCGTTTGACCCAACCCGGGGCCCGACGCGACGGTGGGTATTACGTGTTTGCGTGCCGCGAGTATTCTTCGTGACTCTGTGCCCTTTACCCGCCCGCCTCTCCTCGACCGTCCGTCGCGGCCACGCTTCGCGAGGTTTACGAGAAGGTAAACGCGGCTCCACGAGAGAAGGCATTCGTGCGATGCTAGAAAATACGCTAATGCACACCGGCGCGGCGTTCTCATGGAAATCGCACTGTCAGGGCGGAGAGCGAATCTACGGCCTGGCTACGGAGATAAATCAGCAAATAAATCGTGCCAATTTTTTTTAATGGGCCCGCCGCTAATTAGTTAGAAATTACTCTCGACTAGAAGAACACTTATCCTTTAACTAATTGAAGTACGTGACCCCAAAACTCGTATCGTCTGGATAAGAATCGCAATTATCATCTGCGTATCATTATTCCTCGTGTAAGTAACTAAATATACTCCTTTTCACGTCGTAAAAACAAAATCTGAATTTATATCCGTAATTTATATATAGCGTTAAGTATGTGCGCGTGGCCATTTGATTCTCATCCGTGAAAGACGTTCCCCGTACGAGGCAGACAAATCTCGACGGCTCGTCGTGTCGGTCCGTGAATACGATATCTCGACGTTAGTCCCGGTCTCTCAGCCGTACGATCGGCTGTCATAATTCCCGCGAAATGTTTGTATGGTAGAAGCGAAGGTGAATTACGCGAAAGCGCACGGAGTCGACGGGCGGTCACTCGATGAATCACGTCATAAATTACGTCGACTAATGAAGTCGCTACTACTAAAGAACAGCGCCGAGATTTACGTCCTTGGCGAGCTTTATGCCAAAGCTTCGAGGTTTATTTATAACTTTGGTATATCGCGCGTTCCTTTTTGCGCTCGCGCACCCGTGTGTTATCTTCGTATCTTTTTAGCTTCTCTCTCGAGGAGGGAGGCAAGCGTGTACGCACGTTGCGTGCGGGGCTCCGCTTGAATCTTTGCGGTGCGTAGCGCGCCGGGTTGATCGGTATCGGCCCTCGAAGCGAGTCATTTATGTAGTCATATTCGTTGTTAGTATTTGAAAGCGTAGCACCCGTGCAATTACTCGCGATGAACGTGCGTTTAAAAAAGCAGGTAGCAGCACTTCATTCTCCGCTCGGCCGGATAACATTTCAATGCTGAGAAACTTCACGTGACTAGGAAATAGTGCGTACGGAACAACAAACGTTCGCGGGTACTTCGAACATGTTTATTGCGTGCGAATCTCCCTTCATACCGTGTCAAGGAACTTTGGTTTATACGACAACTAAACTGTTGCACGCACGCGCGGATATGTTAACCGTCACTTTCTTTTGTATTTTCCTCTTGTTTTCTCATTATGCAAGCAAAATAAGATAAAAAGATAGGCGTTACTTTACATGTGACGTGCGATGTTCGTAGCAATGGTAATTTCAATTTCTGTAAAATATCATATAATAAAGTATTTTTAAGAGAGAGTTTATTACTAACAATATTTTTATCTTGCATTGCCTAGATTTGCAATTTATCAATTAAAATATGTAGGTAATTATAATCTTGGCTAGATTACAACTCTATTATAACATTGTTGAATATTGTTTAAATATTAAATTAATATATTAAAAATTAAATTAATAGGTATATTAAAGTGTGAAAATAATATTGGGTCTGTTTTCTATTGCTGAACTGGCTGCACTAGTTCAGAGTTTATCTTTTTCCTTCCAATGTGGAGTAAAAAAGATAAACTCTGAACTAGTGCATCCAGTTCAGCAAGACAGAAAGCAGGACCCATTATTTCAATAGTAAAGTAATTTTTTACACTTATTTATAAAAGAATATATTTTGGTGCATTAGTTATAAAACTTTCTTCAATAGTAAGAACACATACTGATATTTTCGTTTTGTATGTTTAAACTTAATTGACCGTTTAAAACCCAAAATCATGATTCCACGAGAAGAACAAATATATTTATTATTCTTACAGATCTTTCTTTCCAAACGACTTAAGATAAATTTAATTCGATGATGAATAGCATTGATGATTAAGTTTTTTTTTTTTGAGAATCTACTAGTACGGTCTTAGGTTTCAATAAACGACTTCATCGTGAAATCATTCGAGTTCAAGAGGTTAATCAGATTCGCGAGACGTCACGTCACATGAAACAAGACCGATTTGTCTCACGATTTTATCTACAGCCACGAGCGATTCGCGCGGCAGCAAAAATCCCGCTAGATGCCAATGCGTATAGCGTTAGCGCTTTCAGGTTGCGCGGACCGGCGAACCGTTCGCCGATAACAAAAGGGCAAGGGTCGCGGCGGTTGCGCCGACCCGCGAAGGTGCCGGAGGAGGAAAATTGCTTACCAGGCGTGGGAGGAGGATCGGTCGGTGGATCCGGGAGTCGTGCTGGCGGCGAGTCCAGCAGAGTCAGAATGCACAGCGCGGTGACCAAGACCGCGGCGAGTCCCACTCTACATAATCTCCTCGTTCCCGCGACCGGCATGCTGCCCCCTCGTTTTCTCTATTATTATTTTTACCCGTAGCGAAAATCTTCATTCGTCGCGCGCGTTCGTCAGATGCGCAACGGCAACGACATGCCTCGGACAGTCTTTAGTTCGCGAAACCTTTCTGCACGCGGGACTCGCCGATAATGCACTTCAGCCACGAATGCATCTCGGACGTTGACACGGCGACGGCAGGCCGATGCTGTGCATTTTACGCAGTTTTTCACTTTATTCCGCATACGATTCTTTTGTCACGCGATACGACGCACGCAATTTTCAAACGGTTCATGGATTCGCAGTCCGCTCACATGGTCCTATTTTATTCTTTCTTCTTTTTCCTTTTTCCGCGTTGTTTTTTCCGATATTTTTATCAAATGAACTTTTCAATTTTATTCACTCGCGGCGATGTGATTTGCGTGGAGGTTTAACCGCGGTTTGCTAACGAACTAGTTGTAGGTAATTATTCGAGTTGTTGCCTACTTGGCGGCACGAACTTGCTCTGAATCAGGTTCCACTCATCTCATCCGGATCGATCTGTCGACCGCCTTCGGCTCGGCACGCGTTCTCGCGATGCATCGAAGGCAGAGATCGGTGCTGGTCACGTAGCTCTTGAAAGATCCATTCGTGCGCAAAATCGGTGCATTTTTAATGGAACGGGAACAAAATGCGCGGTTTAAAACGGTCGCTCGTCCGCGTGTTGGGTGAGCGTCCGGAGTGAGCGCATCTGTTTCTCCGCTTCGTTTCGCGCGTAAAAAGCGCCGTACGCGATTGCCTCGACCTCCCACGCGATCACGACGACATGCTGCCGCTTCTTCCTCGGCTTTTGTAGGCAGACGACGACCATGTATGGCCGTCCCGAAGGGTCCGCGTCCTCCTGCCTCCGGGCTTTCGATAATTCAATTATTCCGACCCGTTCCGATCGATCGATCTCCGTGTCGAGTGGTTTTTCTGGCCGATCCCGGGTTTTTTCTCCCTTCGATTCATCGAAGCGCGAAAATTTTTGAAGGGTCCGAGGGCTATCGCACCGCTGCAATTGCACCTCGCCACGTTAAAAAAGCGCGGCTCACGCGCGCCGCGCACCGGCGTGACCATTTCGAATTCATTTTCGCCCCGGCCGGCCTGTCGATTTTACGCACGGCCGCCGAAAGTGGAACGCTCTCGGTCGAGAATGACGGCGCGCCTCTTTGTCTTTTTAATCGTCACATTCCACGCGCGGTTGGACTGATTTCGCAGGCGTGAGAAACGCGCCGCGGAATTAAATTTGCCGCCGGCCGGCGCGGCGCGGCGTGGCGTCACGGTGTGATACCTCCGGTGTAAACTGCTCGCAAACCAAACCTATAAGAGCGCGCGATCGGAATCTCCCGCGAATTAATTTACGACGTCCGTTTTAATCCGCGCGCTCTCTCTCTCTTTCTCTCTCTGATCGAGCACCGTGACTCTTCCCTCGGATTATCTTCTCGCGCACTTGGAAATTAAATTCTCGTAACGAAACACACGAGGAGATACAGATCGAAAGCTTGAACTTGATCTTTTCGATAATCTTGATCCGCACTGGTGTATCTCGCGAGCTTTCGATAATGATCGAAAAGTAATTAATCGAATGCGTTTCACGTGACACGTTGCACCAACCGGAAGGACTTTTTCTTTTTAAAAAATATTTTTTTATTGTCTCTCTCTCGCTTTCTCTCTTTTCCTTTACGTGCCGGCGATATTGTCACTGTTGGTGCATGAGGAGCACGTGCACGCGATCGGATCTTGGTGGCTTTCCCCTCGCAAGCCGCCTGTTGGCGGGTTGCACGTGGTCGGTGGATCGACCGACGGGATTGATGCAACCTGGCCTGCGCGAGAGTCGAGAGCGTACTGCGTTCGAGCGGGAGGTTAACGCGCCACCGGGGCCTCGTACCGAGGCACGACGGCGACTTTGGACCCGTTGCCTTAGCATGCCTCGCCAATGCGCCTTGCTATACCCCGTCCCTACTCGCCTTTACCTTGCCTCGTCTCGACCTAGCTCTTCTCGACTTGCTTTGACTTGCCTCTTAGCTTAGCTTTATCCCGCTCTCCGGTTGGTTGGGTTGGTTGGGTTGGTCGGTCGGTCGGTCGGTCGGTTGTCGGTTGTCCGCCGGGACAACGTTAGTTAAGTTTACCTTGTCGCAACCTTGTGAATCGCGTCGCGTTTCACATGCTCCTCTCTTTTCATGTCTTCTTCGTTCTTTTTCCTTGTCGTTTTGCACCTCCGTTTTGTCGCTCCTGTATACCATTAGTCTCCTTTATGCTCGTTAACCGGCACTAATTAGTTTTTGTGGTGTTTCTTGTTTTGATAAATCAATAGTCGATTGATGGATAAACATTAACATTGGAACACGAGTTTACATTAAATTAGCAGATATTTGTTCTAGAAAATAGAATATTAGGAAATAGAATAAATCAGCATACGTTATTGCTTTCATACGTTTTCTATTTTAGCTTAGTTTAAAATAATTGTCATTTTATTTTAAACTATGCTATTTTCTTAAGATTTGTATTTGAATATATTTTAAATGTTATAATAAAGAAAAAAGATTCAGTTGGTTATCATTTTGCATTTTATAATATAAGAATATATCTAATGTCTTAAGGATTACTAGAAGGATGTTTTACATTTTCTAATGCTATATTAATTTGGTATGGAATAAAATCTTCATGTCTTTATAATTTTTAAAGATTATACATTATAAAACGATTGTTATATTTTACATTTTCTTTAAACAAAAATTATTTCTTTACACATTATTTCTAATTTATCTGAAATATTTTCTAGTAGGTATTTATAACATACTTAGACTTTATGCATTCTTAAAACATTTATGTCTGTTTCTACCAAAGTAGATTAACTTTAATCTCAATTTAACTTAGTTTTTATTTTAATCTAATTTTTAGGACTAGACTAGGAAAAGATAGAAAGTAAGTTAAATTAAAATTAAAGTTAATCTGCATTGGTAGAAATAGACATTAAACGTTTTGTTAAAGTTTTGTACACATTTGTGTACTTTGTATCGAAAATTATGAGATTGTGATTCCGCCAAGAATAATTCTACTTTTTACGGAAATTGTGTCCATTTTTGTCGTACTGGTTGCCTTTCAGCATCGCTTATTCTTACAACAATGTCAGTCGAGAAACATTATAAATTCGTCACAATTTGCTTTTGCGTTAGCCACATCTTTTTTTCTCGGAGTATATAACCGACGTGATTTCCTCGGTCACCGTAATGTCGTTATCCTCCGGGAGTCATATCTCCGGCTGTAATAAAACGCCTTTCCCCTTCTGTTTCTCTCTTTTCGTACCCGCTTTATGCCCTTACAGCCGACTTTATCTCATCTTATCTCCACACATTGCTTGACCTTTCCTCCTTGCATCTCACCGTTTTCGCTTGTCCACCTCGTACGTAGTTTCTCGTCGCTTCTTTCTCTTCTTATCTCTCTTCCGCGGATTCCCTCACGTTCGTTCCTCTTCCCATTCTCATTTCCCTTTTTCTTTATCCGCTTGACCACCGTCAAGCGTGAGCTAACTTGGCCGTGTCAAAATCGATCGCATGCTGCATGATATTGACTATACGTGTGCTGTCACACACGCAGGGCAGATAGGATTTAAATCTTCCTGACGCGGCTGTCGTTACAGAGCAATCGTTACGAATGATCTTTTTGCGGAAATTACGATAGACGCGGTTTTGTCCACGGCGCGTGGAATGCGAGGAGAGAGAAGAGACCGCGTGCCAGTATATCCGACGAGAGAATGCGAATGGTTGTGTTCTTTCATTTTTTTTATTCCTACATCACGGCTCACACGATTTCTACGAACCGCGGCGCGTGTGCATGACTGTCACGAAGGTTAACGCAGTGATATGTATTACACAGTGATATGATCGTACATCACGGGGGACCAGTCGGTTCTGTCGGATCTTCGACTGTATAAGCGGGCAGTAGGTGAAGCTGGTCGAGGTCAGACGACGCGGGGGGGATACATCCGATACGTTCGTTCTCGCGTTAATAAATCTCGCGAAGAGCAGAATCTGTACGTTAACGTTGGTTGATCGGCGAAAAAGAAGGTGCAAATAAGGTACGGGAATACGGCACCACGATTTACTCTCGACATACGCCATATTCTCAAGACGGCCGGCCGTCCCAAGAATGTCATCGGGTAGAAGAACAGGAATAGACACGCAGTACACCTCGCGCAATGATACAAACAGCAATCGTTCCAAACTTATTATCGCCGGTAAGAAACTCATAAATGCTTATGACTTGCTTGTCGGTTTTTGCCGTGGCGTTCGTACGATCCAGTTAAAGCGACGTTTCGCCGGATTGACTCGGCAACCAGCTGGAGATGGACTCCGGCGCGGAGGAGCTGGCGGAGATTCGCCGTGTCCCCGGCCGCGTCCTACGAGACAGAGCGAGGGAGAAAGATGGGACAAATAAGAATGTGGGGGGAGAGAGAGACAGGACGGCAGACAGGTAGGGTAAGGAGGCGAGAGAACGGGAGTACAAAGAAGAGGTGGAGGAGCCTGGGGAGTCCCTTCAACGTCATTTGTAATACCGGATGGCCTAATGATGCGACTGGTCGTGACAGGACGGGAATAAGAGTGGAAGCGTGCGAGCGCGTTGGCGATTCACCGTGGGTCTCTCCCTCGCGTACCGAGGTATACGAAAGGGGGTATATGGAACGGGCAGAAGAGAAGTTGGTCATATACATCCACGTGTCTTGGTCATTCGATTGTTAAGGACGCGAGGAAAGCCTCGGGGACGTATTCCGCTCGTCCTATGATGCGCGACGGCGATTTGCTTTGCCGTTGTAGATCACGGCAAAGAGGGATCTATCTATCCATCGTGCCATGCGCGCACCACTACAACCACCGTAATATATTGTATGCGCGAGCGTGACTTTTTTACGATTTGCAGGGAAAAATACGTGCGCCCGTAGAAATTAATCTCCCACCGGCTGCCTCCGCGAGGAGCCACGATAATTTACTCGCGCGGAGGAGGCTATTGTGCTCATTGCCCATGTCTCGAATCTGACGACACGTGTGCGACTCGCAAAAAGCTGATAGTGGATGGGGTTCGACATGGAAGGGGTTCGACAGTCATTTAACAGAGATTGCATGGTTTTTCGTCGATCGTAATATGAAGTTACACGGTTTATCTCATCATCGCAAATGAGATTTCAGCAGATTCTTTGACGAGCGTGGAATAGTCTTAATTAAATGAATAAATAAATAGATTTATTTATTTCGTGATTAATTCCCCAAAAATACGTACAAGCAAATCAAATATAAAAAAATTACGATATTTATTATATAGAAATATTAAAGCTTATAGAAATAGAAGTGAAAAGATGTATATCGTATGTCTCATCTGCTGCTGGAAACTTGTTAGATTTCGAATAAGCAATGCAATGGTAAAATAAATAAGAATTCACGCTATAATTTATTTAAAAAAGTAACGATGTAGGCCGTGGGATTAATACAAGATAATATAATAGAGTTAGTATCAATTTCACTCTAGATATTATGGAATTTCTTTATTCAATAATGGGTAGTCTAGTCTACATTCAGTTCCCGGAAATGCTTCGAAATGTAGATAAATACGTGTATCCGTGAAGTTGCGATGCTGAAGCACCAAGTATGCCCTCGAAGCTAGAGCCCACGTTGCACGCGATGATTCCCCCGCGAATCGTGACGATCTTCGACGCAACGCGCTTTTCTTCCCCGCGTCACTATGGGCACGACCGACGCCGGTGCACTCCGGAGCACGGCGTAGCTAATGATGCAGAACGTGCAGCAGTGTTTTCTTGCGGCCAACTAAGTAGCGGGATTCAAAAAAATCGACAACCCGCCGTAAGTTACGTCTGCGTGGTCGTCGTCTCGACGTTAAGAAGTCCACGCAGACGCGCCATAAATTATAGGCTGAGAATAATTTAAACGAAACTCTCCGGGGTTTGTTAGTTTTATTTAACTCAACGGGTGTCGCAGAATTATCGGCTCTCCGATGCGCGCGCATTTATTATTCATCGCGCTGATTTATTATTCATCCCGGTAATATGGTATACGGCGGATATATGGCGGATTGAATGGCGGACGAAGCGGATTGAAGGTAGAAATTTGTGCGCCAACGAAGGCATTCAAACGTCATGTTTCCTGCCGGGGAGTTGGCCGAAACAAAGTGAGTTATAGTAAACTAGTTTTCAGATTGTGAAGAAGGTAGCTTATTACTTTATCCATAATTCCCCGCTTTGATTCTGTTCAGCTACTAGCTATTAGGATGTGTGTATGCTATTAGTTGATTATTGCCAAATTAATGATATTACTTTGATTACCTTGCATTTCAAATAGCGATATTTATCCACACTTCGATATAGTATGTAATTCAGTACATTACATTTATCATTCTTAAGAAAATATTTTTAAGAGCGCGACTTCAGAGTCTTTTTAAATATTTTTTTATTTATATATATATATCACATTTAGATGTTTATAGAACGATTCGCTGTACTAGATTTTGTTACGGTGTATTTACTTCTCTTCCGGTCGGTCAACTCTGTTGGCGTGATCATCGAGGACGAACGATTGAACTTTCTCAGTACGATACCGATCGTGACTCGAGCTTTTCTTTCTTCAATCAACAACGCGACGCATTAAAGCAATCGACAGAATTGGATCGACAATGAAACCGCACGTTGCTTGAGCGCTTTGGTTAGTTAGATTAATCAATGGTGTGCTTAGATTTATCTTGAACCATAATGGCAAGACGTGCCGATTAACGATGTTGTTCGTTGATCTTGTACCTTTCGCGCACGCCATAAATGCGCGTTCATTACGGTAAATGA